AGAAGGCTTTCAATATAGATACCTGATATATATTCATTGAAAAATGGCGCGTGATTTGCGCGCAAGCTTAAAAACGTGGCAAATTTTCAGGACGTATTTTGCTTTATTTTCACATACTTTACTTAGTACTTCATCTTCACTTGCGCAAAAAAACGTCATAGGAACTCAACCAACTACCTGTGTGTAAATTGATTTTTGGATTGAAATCTTGGTGCTAACCTGCGAAATTATACTGAGGTAAGCGACTACACTTATAGGACAGAAAATGAAACCACGTGGAGTGAGGTGGAAAGTCCGGGAAGTACGGGAAGTAAAATGAAAAAAATTCCATATTACGTTACCTATAAATACACAATAGGCGGCGATTCCCAGGGGCCAAGGAACCTGATTGTGAAGGTAGATCGCAAGGCCTGCGCCCTGATTCCCCGCCTACAGTAAACATATCCATCTAAAAGATTCGGAAAAGGGATTTTTATCCACACGGAGCGGTCCTTACAGCTTTAATTTAGCTGTAATCAAAGACATCTTTCTGTATCTGTTGACTCATAAACTCATGATTAATTCTCGAGCGAACCAGTTTTCTTCGATAAAATGTTGTTGTTTTTTTATTTACTATCATTCGCCTGATTATAGTTTTTCATCGATCCTGCCTAATTGTCAAGAGGGTCTCAATGGGGTTGTTGAAAATTAGCCGTGAGTCGTGAAAATGCGAAAAAATTAGCCGTGAGGCGTGAATATTTTTTTTATAGCGTGAGCCGTGATTCAGGACAGTCAACTCCAGGCGCGCGCTTGTAATTTTTTGGGGGTAAATTAAAAAAATAAAAGCTTTAGTGTAGATTTTTCAAAATTTTGCCTCGCAAGAACTTGAAAATGATTAATCATAAATTCATACACAAGAAACATAGCAGGTATTGAGAGCATAGTCTTCCTTTTGACCAAATTCAGTTGATAATTAAAAGCTTCTTCGCCGCTCGCCATAGTATACAATGGGCTTGGCACTTAGATTTTTCACGTCTCTGGACGAACTCCCGGACAGAATGTCACGAAAAATTATATGTCCGGGAGTCAAAATCACAGTAAAATGTAARTTYAGTCTAATCAAAGATACTTTACTGTATTTAGGTGTAGATAGTCTTCCGTTTGACCAAATTCAGTTGATAATTTAAAGCTTCTTCGCCGCTCGGCATAGTATACAATCGACTTGGCACTTAGATTTTTCACGGTCTCTGGACAGAATATCACGAAAAATTATATGTCCGGGAGTCAAAATAATTTTTAATTTGATTATATGATTTGTACGGATTAACATTCATTCTCTTCAATTATTAGTATTCACTATATTCAATAATTATTTGATAATCAATATTGATCCATTTGTAAACTTTCATCGTAATATGGAACGTTCGAGTGTAATGTTGGAGTTTCAGAGGTCTTACTTGTGTTTAGTTGAATCNTAAGTGTCTTCATAGTACGATGGTCTAAGAGGGTAGCTAAAGGTATGCTCTAGTGGGCGGCTACCCCCTCACTCCCTGGCCTTTTGGTTAAGACTAAGTTTTATGTTCACTCGGGATAGCGTGGAAGGGCCGAAATCTCTAACCGTAACGTAAGCCGATTCGCCGCCTCAGCTTCATAGAATGTCTCGGGGGAATCGTCCCATCTTTTAAATTTTTTTTATTTTCATTATTTTTATTTATTCCAGGGGGGTGCATCTTTTCCTAAAGTGAAAGTCCTGAGTTCGAATCCTGCTTCTGGAATTTCTCCTTTTTTTGCTTTTTGTTTGTTTGTTTGTTTCTTCTTTTTTTTCTTTTTCTTCTTTCTTGTTTTTTCTTCGTTTTATTTGCTGTTGTTACTTCGTTTGTTTTTTTTTTCTAGAGATTTCTCTTTTCAACTTAAACATATCAAGGACTCGCAAGGAACGCCTGCTACAAGTGGATGGTTACGGTTCGGTCACTCGACACGATGACATCATAGCGACGAGAGGCCCCATAAGGCCTTTCGTCATAAAAACTATTCCGCGACACTGTAAGGGTAACAATACCACTTTACAAGCTATGAGCTTTAAAGGTCGAAGAATAAAACACTTTTGCCTCATGAAAAATTAACTTCCCGTGATACCTTGATAGTCAAGTATTAAAATCACATGGATTAAATAGCCATGATGTCCAACCGTTCAACCAGATTTCTATTGAATATTTAATGGTGTTTGTAAAGGAAAGTAGATTTAACACGTGTGCGCAACGGCACCGTCACTTTCATGCCTCTACAGTATAAAGTATTATAGTTGTGAGTTTTTTTTCTGAATGGTTTCAGCCTGATTTCCGTTTTCGTGTTTTCCGTGATAAGTGTTGATCTGTGCTGTTCAGTCATTCGAAATCCTCTCTGAACCATTTTACAAAGAGCATAGATTGTGCAATATGGACGTAGAGTTGTCAAGTGCATTTTAATGAAAAAGATGAAATATTTAATCTACTGGTAGCCCACAATTAAAACCCTACTAATAGTGTAATTGCTTTCKAAGAAWTAAAACCACATCAAATGTGCCAGTKGATAAAACAATCTTTAGACCCTGGAGACGAGTTYTGCCACATTTCAGTTCCTAAAGAATATTGAAATAAGATAAAGAAATAGATAAGCAAAGGTTACAATCATTGTTGGGGCTGGGAAGTCGATTATTGATGGGAAATACAACCAACTTTATTTGACTTAAAAATCTTTGCTTTCTGAATATCAGTGTTTGTTTGCAATCAATATTTCATGACTGAAACAAGATGGACATTTTGCATGGGTCAGTAATCTTTGAATGACAACATAATTACTTTACACATACACGTTATTAAGTTCTTTTTTTATATCGMTGTAGCTTATGTCGTATTTTGATATCAAATGTAATTCCTCTTCAATTTTTGCTCAATTGTGGTTTGCCGAACAAGCTGTAAAAAAAAGGCGCCAGTAAAAGTAGCAGCCGTTGAATTGCATAATCAATTSTCTCCAAATAAAGAAATGACTGAGCTGGAACCATATATAAATAGTTCGCTTTCCACTTGGTATTACAGTGTGTACCACGAATCGTGCAGTTTCCTTATCAACGAGCTCTCAACTCATCACACTAACTTCTACAAGAAAACCTTCCAAMATGGCGTCGTTAAAGTTAATAGTACTCATTTTTCTCATTCATGTTTTTGGAAGTTTTTCAGCACCAACTGTTGATAACGCTTTAAAGAGATTGATTAAGTTTATAAACAAGCAAAATGGTAAGTATTTTACCAATCAAATCAACTTCCAAGCAAGTATTTTGGCTAGTTCTCATAGAAAATAAGTATGGATACTGTTTGGTACTTAAAAACTTTTCCACAGTTCCGCGTTCAAAAATTCTTACAAACAAGTTTCATGTTTTAAAGCTATTTCCATTTCTMTACGATTAATATCATTCCTTTTCTCGTTTGCATTGTTTTTTTAGTCGAAAACGTAAGCTATTGAAATTGTTGCATCGCGTGCGTTTGTAGCTCTCAAGCGGAAAATTTCCCGCTTAAATATTTCTGTTGGAACGCGCGCGCAAATAAGGAAAAATGTCAGCTTTTTCACTTCTAAGTCTACTCCGGCTATATCTATATATTTTTCTTATTCTTTCCGATAACTTTTAGCATTTATGCATATACCTGAAATTCTGATATATACAAAATATAAAAGATACTTTTGTATACGCACAAAAGGCATTTACTTGAGGAGAGTTTGGCGCGATTTGTGTGTGTTTCATTGACCCGTAAAATGTTTTTGTACTGTAAACAGAGCGAGGACGAAAATAAATGAGTTAAGCTGCAAACAAACACGTCGTGAGAGCATTCCAAAATGTTGTGATGAAACACTTCTATTCTAGAATTTGATGAATTTAGTTATATAAATACAATGTTTGACTTATAAACTTTCTATTTTAATTAAGATAACCCMGAAATGGAAGCATACATGCCTGAGGAAAATGGTAAGAATGATTTTAGATTGAATCCAGGTGCTGTTGATTCATTATCTATCCATTCAGTTTTCATCCTTTTGCTCAACTCTTCTTCATCCATCCCGCTTCCTTTTCACTCATCCATTCACCCATCCTCTTTCTTTCAATTATTCACACAGTCAACAATTCATCCATTCAATCTTTTTTCTTGCCTTCATTTCTAGTTGTTAAGAGAAACGTCTTTGAAGGAGATATCTATCTTGACAAAAGTACGGAGAATATCTTGGAACAACTAATGAGCCCGACACGAGAAGCTCTAGTCAATCCAATTTCTCACTGGAAAGACGGTCGTGTACCATACCAATTTGGGCCAGTCAGTAAGCAAACATAATCATTATAATTATTAATATTTATTATCAGCATAATTATATGATCAACATTGTTTTCATTGTTTATATTTATCAAGAGCTATTGTAGTGTAATTTGACTAAGAGTTATGAGAAGCTCTAGTGTTTTGCGGTTCAAAAAATTTCAATTACAGCTGGTTGAACATTGGTCTGAAACTTATTTGATCAAGCGCTGATTCCGTGAATCTTGAACATAATCAGATGATTACGTCATCTATATATAGCTATATTTGTAATTATCATTTAATATTGATAATAACATCGTCTTGCTTAAAGGTGACGAAGTAAAGCGTGTATTTAAGGAAGCCATTGCCGAGTACAAGAAGCACACKTGTATCGAGTTCGTACCCAGGACGAGTGAACGGGACTATATCTACGTCGTGGCTGAGACGGGGTAAGTTATAGCCAGTCAGAGTTACAGCCAGTCAGAGTTATAGCCTGTCTGAGTTACTGCCAGTCAGAGTTACAGCCAGTCTGAGTTACTTAATCAGAGTTATAGCCAGTCAGAGTTATTCAGTCAGAGTTAAAGCCAGTCAGAGTTACTCAGTCAGTCAGTCAGTCAGTCAGTCAGTCAGTCAGTCAGTCAGTCAGTCAGTCAGTCAGTCAGTCAGTCAGTCAGTCAGTCAGTCAGTCAGTTCGAGTCAATCAGAGTGAGAGTCATTGGTCAATCATTGTGGGACTTGTCAGAGTCACTCGACCTTTAGAGTCTTAAAGTCGTGAGTCAGTCAGTCTGCCAAACAGTCAGTGTCAATTACATGGTCAGTTACAGACAGTTAGTCAGTAAGTCAGTCAGTTAGAGTCAGTCAGTCAGTCAGTAAGTCAGTCAGTCAGTTAAAGTCAGTAAGTCAGTAAGTTAGAGTCAGTAAGTCAGTCATTCAACCATTCATCCAGCTGCCTGTCACTTCATCGATCCTTTTAGATGCTGGTCTTCTGTTGGTCGAAGTGGTTACAGACAAAAACTGTCAATTGGTACAAACTGCGAGAGGAAAGGCACCGTGATGCACGAGATGATGCACGCRCTTGGTTTCTTTCATGAACAATCCAGACTTGACAGGGATGATTATATCAGTATACACTGGGAGAACATTGATCCAAGTAAGTCTGGCTTGATATTGTATTTCTATATCGTTTCTATCATAGTGCCATGCGGTCCTCACATTCATATCTTTACATGATTCTATGTAAGGACCCCCCCCCCCCCCTACCCAAAAAGGCAACTCCCCCGAAAATATAATAATAACGACACGAGCGCTGATCAGTCCTGGCGCCTCGTCTTCGATTGTTTTGTGAATGTTTTAACATCATGATTCTCCATTTTTTCACAGAGAAACGCTTCAACTTTCAGAAGTACGAACATGGGCAAGCAGACACGTTAGGAGCTCGATACGATTATGGATCCATAATGCACTACCCTATGTACGCCTTCACCAATAATGGACGTGCGACAATCGTCCCTAAAGACCCGAACGCTGAAATTGGACAGAGAACACACCTAAGTAACATCGACATTCAGCAAGTCAACAAGCTTTATAAGTGCCAAGCAACAACCACTCCTGCTCCTACGCCAGCTCCTACAAGTAGGTATCAACTTAGAGTGTATGATGTGGGGATGGTTTGTGTATATAGTGTACGCCCAAGAGGGGGTAGAGAGGGGCAACAATTAAGCACTCGAGCTCCTATTACTTCCGTTCCTGGTTTACACTCAGGAGAGGGGTGGGTATGGTTTGCTCTAAGGAGGAGTTGGGAAGGGGAAGTACTAGTTAAAAGATTGTATAAGCGCTACATACCATATTGTACATATGATAAATATGGGTAGTTCTGTTAACCAACTTATGCTCCAAGAGTATAGGGAGGCAAAACTTACTTACAGGGGGTGGGGAAGTGTGCCTGTTAACAGCAATACAAATGAAGGGAATAAACGGAAGAGGCATATCTGATGTGAGTGTAACGTGCCGTGTACTCAAAGGCATAAAAACGCTTTTAAACTTCTGCAACACTAATCTATTTATTTCATTTTATTTTTTACATTTTCATATATAGCAAAACCGTGCACAGACAAACTGGATGTTTGCTACTATTATGCTTACTTTGGTTACTGCAGTTACTACCGAGAATTTATGTCTACGAACTGCAGAAAAAGCTGCTTTGTATGTTGAGGTAATACGAGTTCAATAATTTGAGCATTAGTCGAGTTACGTGTGCGTTTCATTAAGCTACACACGTGTATTATCGAGTTACGAGTATATTTACAAGCAATTTACACGCACGTATTATCGAATTAAGCACGCAAGGACAGGCAATGTACAAAAGAGTCAGAGAAGCCTGGCAATATGCTAATATTATGCTGAATTTTAAGATTCTTATCATTCTTTCTTTTGTAGACTATGGCGAGGAGAGACCCGAGAGAAAGCAAGAAAATGCAGGGCTTTTTCGTTAGATGTAGCCTGTCTTGATGTAGTATATTCAGTTTAGCCAATATAATCTAATCTCATCAGGCCCTACCCTCGGAAAGCCTGTCAGGAAATGTTCATATCATTTTACCTTTACCTTGTTTGTACTTTTTCTGTTTTATCACCATTATATTCTTAAGTCACATCTTTACATAATATTACATAATATTAGATGATTGTTAAGTGTTCAAGTGCTTTAAAATAAACTTCAATGGACTCAATGAGAATACACTGACTGCGGCATTTCTACTTTGGTGGCTTACTACAGTTGAACCTCTCTATTAAAGGACCCTCTATTTAGTCTAAAAGTCGATTCTCGTATATATTTACTGCAGTTGCTATTAGATTCAAATGAGTGCTTATCTCCCTCCCGGGGGGGGGACTCCCTAATATCAAAGGGCGGGGGTCCTCGGCGTCCCTTTTAGGGTTTGAAATCAGTATTTTGGTCCCGCTTAGGGTGATCATGACAAGAATTCCTACCAACTGTGTTTTGTGGTCCCTTTTAGGGTATACGGCGACCCTAAGCAGTCATAAAATGGCAACGTCGTCATAAACTCAATACGAGCCGACGGTGTTCGATGATTGTGTAAAAACACAAATAAAATCGGTAAACCAAAACAAAATGACCTGTTATTGATTGGTCCCTTTTAGGGTTGAAATTTCAGCACTGCCACGCCCATCATCTCACAATAGAGGTCCCTTTTAGGGGTCATTTTCACAATCTCCGCCGAGGACCCCCGCCCTTTGATATTAGGGAGTCCCCCCCCCGGG